AGGCCACACCAATTTAATTTGTTGGTTCTCGGATTTTTTTCAGAAAAAATATGAAGCGACAGGGCGAAAAAAAAAACAGGTCTAGGCATCCTACAAATGTATTATAGGCTTAAATGCTACAAAATGAGCCATGAAGTCAACACAAAAGGCTGGGTTAAAATTTAAACATTGAATTTTGAACTTTTAATCAAACCACTGCAATGATAGATGGGAAAACTGTAACAACTAGGAAGAAAAGGACTTTCCTCAACTGTTGGGGGGCAAAACATGAGCATTTTTCAGTTGATTCAGGACCAGAATCTTAATTTTTTTTTTTTTTGCAAATCAGAAAAAAACGAAGAGGCGAATCCGAGAACCAACAAATTAAATTGGTGTGGCCTAACTTACGTAAACCAAACACTTTGTGCTGAGATACATTTGTACCTTGTAAACTGCAGAAAAACCCCTTTACATCTTTGCTGGCCAACCAGCTTTGTAATTTGCATACTGGAACCATGCGACTAGATACACACATTTACATCATACTTTACGGTACGGCCTGGTCTGGAACCCGTTATCGAACGCTTCCATGGCTTCCATAAAACGATTCAAACGTGTTTCGCCCTAACCGCGTGTGCCCCTTTCGAAAATTCGAATACAGAATCCGGACGTTGGAATTGATGTTGTTGCATTTTAGGGTTTAGTGGCACCAACTTTTGGCTCATCTTTCACTGAAAGGCGTGTGTTCTTGGGTGGGTATGAAATAAATAAAATACAACGCTGTGTATTCCGCATCGCCCTCGGTCCCGGCCCTCCCGCGAGTCTGCGGCCTTTGGGCGATCCGACCCGCGGTCGTGTTGTATTCTATATGTACAGCTTGCTCCAAACATAATATAATATACATTTCAAGGATAAAGCCTTCATAAACACTGCATTGTGTTTAGTCTGCCAAGTCAGTCAGGTATTAAAGGTACATAATCACTCCTCTGTCAGGAAGGCAAATGGCTCACAGCTGTCGGTAAGCAGGCCTCGAAATTAACTTTTTTTACTATTGTCCCGGAATTGTCCCGAACTGAGGATGGACTGTCCCAGCCTGCTTTTCAGGAAATAATAGGCAATAGATAATGGCAACAATAAGAAAACAACAACAACATGCAGAATTGTACAACTTGAAGTCCACTTTATTAGTAAATGTAGGGAAATAGATGATAGTATCATGGGAACTGCACCATATATTTGAGTATTATGGGCTGCTGGCGGCCCGCAGCAGGATGGATGGATCGCATTCCTAAATCATGTGGATGGTCTCAGAATTTTCCAGTTGCCCGAAATTGTCCCAAAACGTAATTTGAATTGTCCCGAGCTGAAAATTTAGTGTCATTTGACACTGGGACAATGTTAATTTCGAGCCCTGGGTAAGGCCATGTTGATTTGATTATATGGATAACATCCGCGCGCGCATGAATTTTCGGCCGTTTCCAAAAAAAAAAGTTTTCAACCATACTGCAAATCGTACAAAACAGTTGCAAGATTAGAAAATAACGTTATATACCGTAAGTTAAAAAAAATCGGAAAACGATACTAATGTCGTAGAATGTCAAAATCAAACGAAAAAGACGATAATGTACGGAAATGAATTTGAAGAGTAGATTATTCGCCATATCATGACCACGTAGATTTCATGTTCAAAGCAACTTTTTTTTTTGCCAAACTTTTTTTTTTATTCGCACGCTCGCATCAGTTTTGGGGTTCCCAGAAGATGTCATCCATATAATCAAATCAACATGGCCTAACAAGAAGAAAGTTTATTGCAAATTTATGCCCGAGGGCTAATTTCAAGAACATGATAACAAAAATAAACAAGAGTAAAAAAAAAGAATAGCCAGAAATACTAAACTTTAATTAAGGTCAGACTCAGAGTGAAAAAAAAAGTTTTTCCAAATATACTTTTAAAACAAATGAAACAAAATATTTTCATTTATTTACTTAGCTTTAAGTCATATTAACGATAAAACGTTGTTGATACATTGTATTACACACTTATAAATATGCCCAAGATGTACAACGCCCACGCCCACCCAACATCTGCTTGGAGAACACTCAATTACAAACACATATTTGCAGACGACAGCTATACGAGATACGTAGAAAAAACGCGAATTTCGCCGTAACGTTACTTCTTTCCTTCACAATCTACGGCTCGACTTGTTCACAACAATACGGGACGCAAAGTTTGAGCGGGTTACCTGCCGAAACTGATGTGAAACGGCGTCTACAGACGGATTTTCCCCGGAACATAACTTTCTTCCGTTCCAGCCGCCGCCATGTTGTTCTAAGGCCACACCAATTTAATTTGTTGGTTCTCGGATTCGCCTCTTCATTTTTTTTCTGATTTGCAAAAAAAAAAAAAAAAAGATTCTGGTTCTGAATCAACTAAAAAATGCTCATATTTTGCCCCCAACAGTTGTGGAAAGTCCTTTTCTCCCTAGCTGTTGCAGTGTTTCCATCTATCAATGCAGTGGTTTGATTAAAAGTTCAAAATTCATTGTTGAAATATTAACACAACCTTTTGTGTTGACTTCATGGCTCCTATCATAGCATTTGGGGCTATAATAGGATGCCTAAACCTGTTTTTATTTTTATTTTTTTTCGCCCTGTCGCTTCATGTTTTTTCTGACAAAATCCGAGAACCAACAAATAAAATTGGTGTGGCCTAAAATTCACACTTGGCGCGGTCTGGGGCGCAGTGCATCATGGGTGACACCTGTTCATCCAATAACGCTACAAAAACTAATATACAACTGAAATATGATACTATTGAGCTAAAACTTCCGATTATGAAACAGAAACTACACCCTACAATAGATAAAAATTGCAATAATGCTAGAAAAGTGCACAATGTTTACCTTCGGATATGGTCTGCCCTGTTAAACACATTCACATAACGTTACATGTATGTTTACATGTATATGGTGACTTCCCCTAAGTTAGATTCCCGAAGATGCATTTTGTCCGAACACTTATTCATATTTCCTTTCATTTATTTCAATGCTAATTAACGTTACATTTTGAGTGGAGTAGAGATCGGCCAAAGATAACATGCCTGGGGAGTTGGTCCGCTAAATGAGCAACATTACTAGTGGTAGCGACTGTGGGAGCGGACGTAAACTAACCAGGATGGAACCCAGGCTACAACATTAAGTTACATTTGCCTCTCCAGAATTTTTTTCCTACAGTGTAAAAAGTCCCCTGGCATGTTATCTGTCTATTTAGCCAACGTCTATATTCTACTCTTTCCAGCCGCTTCTGAAGCCTGGAAGAGACTAGATACAGATATTAGACCAACTCTTGACTTCTGGTATATTATCAGTCTGTTTAGCCAATTCCTTAGTGACTCTTTCCAATCTTCTGAAGCCTGGTAGAGGCTAGATACAGATATTAGACCAACTCCCCTGGCATGTTCTCTGTCTGTTTAGCCTATTTCTACTCTTTCCAGCCGCTTCTGAAGCCTGGTAGAGGCTAGATACAGATATTAGACCAACTCCCCTGGCATGTTCTCTGTCTGTTTAGCCAATTTCTACTCTTTCCAGCCGCTCCTGAAGCCTGGTAGAGACTAGATAGTAGATACAGATATTAAACCAACTCTTTTGGTATATTATCTGTCTGTTTAGCCAATTTCTACTCTTTCCAACCGCTCCTGAAGCCTGGTAGAGACTAGATACAGATATTGAGTCGGTGAGCTATCGCGGAATCGCACATAGCTCAAACGGAGGTGAGGTCAACGTCAGGCCAAAAACGCCGTCAGAGTGTGGAGCAGGAGCGCCCTCTGGCGGCGAAAAGGTGAAGGACTGCAGCAGGGTCGAGAAGAACAGGAAAAGTTCCATGCCGGCCAGTTGCTCTCCGGGACACACGCGTCGCCCTGGGAAGTAAATATTCACCGTATCAACATGCAATATACGTGGAGAATGTTTAAACGCCATGTTAAGTGCACAATGACTAGTGTACAGCTGGAGATATCCACCGAAGAAGGTTAACTATCTACATAAAATCAGTAACACGAAGGCAGCTGCTCTCCGGGACACACGCGTCGGCCTGGGAAGTAAATATTCATCGTATCAACACCAAGTTTACGTGAAGAATGTTTAAACGCCATGTTACAAGTGCACCATGACTAGTGTACAGCTAGTGATACTGCAATTCCTGATTTTTTTCACTGTACTGTAATGTTCACTGTTTTCACTATCACTTCTCTACCTTCATTACAGTTAACAAATAATTCCTGGACTTTCTTTTTCCTGCACCAGGCCTGTCGCCACCGTGAATATATAGTTCCGTGAACATGTCCATTTTTCTCAGACCTTGAACTTTTGCTACCGTGAACGAAAAGTGAATTACTATCCGAAGAAGCTAAGGTTAAATAAACATTATCTATACAATCATTGCTTGAAGGCTGGGAAACTACAAATGGAATAGAGGTAAGTATAAACTTAGATACTAACAGTTCATACAGATACCTTCAGGCTCATTCTCAGTTACTGTTGAAAGACAGCATATGCCATATGAAAAGTATGACTCTTCAGAGAATCTATACAGTTGGTTGATTTGTATTACGCAATGTTCTACATGGATGGTCTAAACTTCATCGACGGACTCAAACTCTTTCTACGTGGTGATTCCATCATCCACAAAGATCAACAAATCTTTGGAAACAAATTCATCAGTCCAGAAGACAGCTAGGTTTCTAGCCTCTATCAGGCTTCGGGAGGCGCCTGGAAAGAGTAGAGATCGCGGTCAAATAGAGATAACATGCCAGGGGAGTTGGTCCGCTAGAGAGTACATTTTGCCTCACCCGAGTGGCAAACTGTTACGTTTTCTCAGGCAGACCAACTAACTCCCCTGGCATGTTATCTCTCTATTTTACCGATCTCTACTCTTTCCAGCCGCCTTCCGAAGCCTGGTAGAGGCTAGTATCTTCCCTCACCAGCTGAAAAAGGCAGGAAAGACTCAGGCTTGTTGATGACGTTCCCTTCCGCGTCCAGAAACCTTCCGGGGTCAAACCGGTCCGGATCAGGCCAGTAGGCGGGGTCTTTATGGATGGAGTGCAGGTTCACAAGCACCTAGAATAACCAGACCGAAGTTAGGTCAAAGAGACGTCTATTTTTAGATCGTCTTCTAGTTTTTAACCGTTACTCGATAGAAAAAGATTCACCACTTCGCAGTTGGCAATGTTCACGAGCCTCATTGCTACATTTCATCCGACATAGCTTCTAGCCAATCAGCGACTAACTGATGTACCGAACAAACCTCAATTTTTGCAACATTGCAGACAGACAGATAGATGTAACCTTAGTCTATGGGATGTAGCAAATTTCCTCAGCATTTTGCGGACTTGTAGCGTACCTGCGTGTCTTTGGGAATGTCATAACCACACACTTTAACGTCCTGTGTGGTGGCGTGTGGAAGGGCGACGGGCAGAAGCGGTCGGATCCTCATGACCTCCAGCAGACAGGCGTTCACGTAGGGCAGCTGGGAACGGTGGGACAGGGTGGGCAGACCCTCACCAACAACGGCATCAAGCTCCTGCTGCACCTGCTCCGACAAAAACAGGGATCACTTGAATTAAGTACAATAGTATCATATACTGCCATAAGATGTCAAGAAACTTCATCTGTGATATCTAGGGCAGTCTAAAGATCTGTTTTAGTGACTGTTCCTTGTGATTGGTCCGTGTATTTTGAGGATATGGCTGTAAAAGTTGTTAAAAGTAGCTGTGTATGTATATGTACTTCTACCTGTACTTGTTTTCATGATTTGAATAAACAGTGTGAAAAAAAAATTTAAGAAAATAAAAAAAATTATAAAAAAAAGTATCATATACTGCTGTGAAGGGGCAGCATGGCCACAGTTACGAGGCGGCCAATAAGAATTCTTCATGCTTGGGTCAATGTAAATAACGCAGGTATGACTGTATATCAATCCCAGTTGGTCCTTATGTAGAGGTGCTCACTTGTACAGGTTTGATTGTATATCAATGGCCAGGTGGACCTTATGTAGAGTTGTCACTAATACAGGTTTGACTGCAAACTAGACATTAATCTTTTATACTGTGCATTTTGTTTTTACCTTCCTTTGGACGGTTGGGTGCAGAACCATGTAGAGTAGGCTCCACCGGAGGGTGTTGGAGGCGGTTTCCGTGCCCGCTAGGAAGAGATTCTGAGCCATGTGCATCACGATATCCCCCGTCAGACCCTCCACCTTCTCATGCTTCTCGAGCTCCAGCAGACCGAAGTCAAGGAAGTCTCGCGGGTTCTCGCGATCTAGGTTCTCGCGATGTTTAGCCAGCTCTTCTCCCAACATCTTCTGAAGCTTCGCGTTCTGTTCGAGCAGCTCGACTCTGGCTCTGTTCACTGGGAAAAAGCAAAGGGGCACAAGATGATTGGCTTCGGCAGTCCTGATACACCTATCTTTTTCGTCGGTTAGCGTCTTTTATTGCCATTGAAAATACCATTTCATCATGGCCGAGCAGACTGTCGTATTCCTGTGCTATACATATAAACACAAGCGCTGTGGACGTGCGGTAACACTGCAAATATCCCTGTCCTTGGTACTGAACGCCATCTCTCTCTTTCTCTCTCTCTCTCTCTTTAAACACACACACACACACACACACACACACACACACACACACACTTAGAACTGTCCCTGTCCTTGGTGCTGAACACTATCCACACAAACACGCGGGCGCACCTGAACTATTCCTGTCCTTGGTACTGAACACTGTCTACACACACGGATAGATAAGAGAAAGATGAATACACACACAAAACAGCTTCTCACCTCCGGGAACGAACCGTAGCCAGTGGAAGAAGCTGATGCAACCCAACACTAGTTACCAAACTTACCATGGTAACAGGCAACATTAGTTCAGGTCATTGAAGTCAAGAAGAAGAGGAAGAAAAAACTGAGCAAAAACAATATATTTCTGACCTCCGGGAACGAACCGTAGCCAGGGGAAGAAACTGATGATCTGGCCGGCGGCAAGTTTGACGGCCACCGTGACGACCGCATCGGACAGTCCCCGGAACGTCTCGTCCCTGTAGTCATCAGGAGTATACAGTGCAAGTTTACGGAATACAGTGCAATTTTACGGAATACAGTGCAAATTTACGGAATACAGTACAATTTTACGGAATACAGTGCAAGTTTACGGACTACAGTGCAAGTTTACGGAATATACAGTGCAAATTTACGGAATACAGTGCAATTTTACGGAATATAGTGCAATTTTACGGAATACAGTGCATGTTTACTGGTATACATTACAATTTTACGGAATACAGTGCAATCGTATTAGTATACAGTGCAATTTTACGGAATACAGTGCATTCGTATTAGTATACATTGCAATTTTACGGAATACAATGCAATTTTACGGAATACAGTGTAATTGTACGGAATACAGTACAATTTTACGGAATACAGTGCAATTTTACGGAATACAGTGCAAGTTTACGGAATACAGTGCAATCGTATTAGTATATATACAGTGCAATTTTACTAGTATACAGTGCAATTTTACCAGTAAAAATACTAATACGATTGCACTGTATTCCGTAAAATTGCACTGTATACTATGGTACCTGTAGTCATAGCGCCTCCCGATCACCATGGAGCAGACCACGTTTGCGACAGCCACGTTCAGATCGTATGCAACGTCAAAGGGCTTCCTGTCATATTCCGCCACCTGAAAATATTGCCATTTTTTTTATATTCCGACATTTCATGACTAGACATCGTGACGACACACTCAAGTTATATTATCTTGTTTTATACCAGCACCAACGAAGAGGACAAATACAGGACAATACTAATTTTCACTTGAGTTAAGTGAGGAAAGTCATGTAAAGTGCCTTTCCCAAGGGCAAAAGATCAGTGGCATGTCAGGACTCGAACCCGGACCTCTTGGTTCCGAGTCGAACATGCTACCGTTACGCCACACGACCCACGTTGTCACATATCTTCACCCAATAAAAGAATGGCCGCGTCTTGTCGGTAAATACTCTGAATACTGCCACGTTTTTTTGTTATTTGTATATTTGCACTCTAACATCTGCTTGGAGACTAGTTCAAAAGTTCAGTGACCCTAGATAATGGGTTACATAACGTCCAAGGTATATGTAAACAGTATGCACTGTAGGTCATGGGAGTTAGTCGTATGGAAGGTTAAGCATATGTCACATGGCGAGTTGCCCTCTAGTATTTAAAAGTCGTCTGTGCCAAAGCAAATCAATTCTAACAAGTCAAACTTGGCATGTTCTCCTCAGATGCAATCGGAAGAAGCAAAGTCTATCTGCCCATTAAAAAAAATATTTTTCAGCAACCTACTTGATTCTGGTAGAGACTGGTAGGGACTAAGAATACCATCAGTACCACTACAGTCACATCGAGAGAGCGAGAAAGAGAGGAGGGGAGGGAAAGAGAGAGGGGGAGGAAGAGAGCGAGCGAGAGAGAGAGAGAGCGCGAGAGAGGGGGAGAGGGAGAGAAAGAGAGAGGGGGAGGAAGAGAGCGAGCGAGAGAGAGAGAGAGAGAGAGCGAGAGAGAGAGGGGGAGAGAGAGAAAGAGAGAGAACAAGAGCAAGCGAGAGAGAGAACATGAGCGAGAGAGGGAGAGAGAGAGAGAAAGAGAAAAAGAGAGAGATCTAACTTCGCTTACCCTGTTGCGAAGACAGCTTGCCTCCTCTCGGATTTTCTCCTCGATGCTGCCAGTTCCCACCTTCATGCCGAGCACCTTTAATGCGCTGATGGTGAACCGACGTCTCTGCTTAATGGCGGTACCCCAGGGTACGGAGGCCAGGTCTATAGGGGCACATTTATATGTTTTAATTAAATGTATCAATAGAATTGTTCAAACATATTATGAAATCCAAGCACTACAATGTAAATGAAAACTATGTAAATTTGTTCAAACATGTTTCAAAAAGAGAGAAGATATCCTGAAGATAGATCCTGTAGATAGAGACGTAGGGCAGAAATGTAACACTATACTTGTACCCAAGTTATCTAACTTAATGCATCTGGCCCAAACGAATTGTTGCTCCAAACGTATTGAATTTTAGAGGAAATGTTGACAAGAGTACAGTATCTAGTACATTACAGATAGGGTCAAAGTCCTGTATTCTGACTAGTTTGAACTTTCTAACTTATTCGTGTATTTTGTTTGTTCACTTAGCATTCAGGCGATGCATGAGGCAAAAGGGTCGTTACTTGTTTTACTTTTTACAAACGGCCAATTGCTGAAAAACAGAGTTTTTTTTTACCTTTTCCGAAACCCGTTACAGCATCAAACAAGCAATTTGGCGGCCTGGAGGCGAACAGCTCAGACCTATCCACGAGCGCGTCCTTGACGGCAGTGTAGCCGTTCAGAACCACCACATCTTCCATCCCCATCCTGACGGTGAAGACGTCCCCGTACTGCTGCCCCCACGCCGTCAGCTTGAGGTGAGGCGCTCGGCCCAAGGCGAGGAGGTGCCCGAGAACAGGCACGCGTCCTGCCGGGTAGGGAGGCAGGTTTCTGCCGCGCTTCAAGAGAAAACACACCAGAATAACAGCAGTGCAGACGACGAGAAAAGACTGCAGAGTCAGCCCATAGATCTGCAAGATCTCCCGGACAGAATCGGGTATCCACATGACGACTGCGGCCATTTTTGTCCAGAGCTCAGTATGCTAAAGTCAGTTCTACGGACCTTTATCCCTACAATATTGATTGGAGACCCGCCAAACAGGCTTAGCCTCCACCAGGACTTCCTAAGGGGTTATGGATAGTAGAATTCAGCAAAAAGTTAGTTGGGCGAATCAGGTACGGATCTCTCGGTAAGGGCAACGTTTCTCTTCGAGAGGACAAGAAATCTTATGGTGGTTAAATTTAAAATCCCCTGGCAAATTACTGTACGAATTTGGCAAATTTCTACCTACTAGTATTTTTCAGCCCGCGTTGATAGCCTAGTGGGGACTAACAAAAGTTCACATGTCCGTACAAGGTCCGGCAGTGAAAACTGTCCTTGGCCTGGATCTATGCCCAGTCCTTATCGTGCAGGCAATCGGTAGTTATTTGCCATTTTTTGACCTTTAGCACACTGAAGTAGCCGTCTTTCTACCAATTCGTCTATGTTTAGGAGTTAGGTAGGAGGACGAAGGTTAATCAGGTTCCAGTAATGTTTGCTCAGGGGGAAAAGTGCACGTATTCATAGCGTAGTCTTTGCACTTATCGTTGCCGAAAGAAGACAGCTGCACATTCGTATCTGACATTATGAAGGTTTAATGAAATGATTCCAAACCCACAAGTCTCGTTACTAGTATATATGTACATGTGATGGTTATATAGGGTAAAAGTTAAAACCGAGTAAAAACCGGCATGGTTGACATCGGAAATCTGCCAGTGGTTTTGCTGCAGGAAAGGGTTTCCCTCGAAAAACACACGAAAAACGAAGTAAGGAAACAAGAGAAGAGATTGGCCATTTGGTAACACTTACCAAATGGTAAATGTTACCAAAAGGTAACATTTGCAAACTTTAAGCAAATGCATAGTGTTTACCTTCGCATATGGTCTGCTGTGTTACTCAAACACATTGATATATATAGTAGACAGGAGTCTAAATCCCTCCTGCTATAAAATTGCAACATAACGTAACCCAACACTAGTTATCATGGTGACAGACGTCTGGTTCAGGTCATTGACCTTATTGGTTTGGAGAAGAAGAGGAAGAAGAAACAGAGCAAAAACAATAGACTTTGTGGAGGTACTGATACTGGTTCCCAGGGACTCACATCGCTCCTTTGTCTCAGGCTCCACTTGCTTGAGGGTGAAGAATAATGCACATTCCTACATATTTGGTAGCCTGGGTACCATCCCCAGTAGTATATTCGCAAACTCTATAACTGGTTATAGAGTTTGCGAATATACTACTGGGGATGGTACCCAGGCTACATATTTGGCCCTTCTACGATGCTTTTCGGATTGCTGCCAAGTACGTATACCTCTAGCCTCATTTGCAGGCCTTTCGGGAGCGATCTGCGTTTTTTTGGAGGGGGGGGGGGTTCTGATCGTACGTACTAGATCTCACACGCTTAGAACTCTGGTCGCCTTCCCTGGTAAGAAGTACTATCCCTTGTTCCTAACAACGTTTTTTGATGAAGATGGAAGACTGCGATGGCGGAAACATCTAATCTCCAAGTAGATCATACGGTGGCAAGGCAGAATACAATTAATCTCCAAGCAGATCGTTTGGTGGGGGTAAGACAGTATCAAATTGGCCAGTCTGTAACCATTCCCCCACCCAAGTGGAAATGGATACAGACTGGCCAATTTGATACTGTCTTACCCCCACCAAACGATCTGCTTGGAGATTAAAGTGGGCAAATTTAATGATGAAATGGAAGTATCAAAATGCCCCCACGAGTGTTTTAGAATAACTGTGTCGAATATTAATATAATTAAATATTTTTCTAAGTCTCAAATTGGTAGTTTTTTGCTATAAGCATTGCCCATGCTGTCTGCCTTTTTATGTCCTACCTGGGCCGCGATTACGTTCGATACGGGTGTTCCGGCTCGTGTGATAACTAGCGGTACGGCCCGGGGGTTCTGAACGCGTACGGCCCGGGGCTTCCAAATGTTCCATAGAACGATTCGAACGCGTTTCGCCCTAACCGCGTGCAACGCTTTCGAAAATTCGAATGCAAAATTCGGACGTTGGAATTGATGTTGTTGCACTTTTTAGGTTTAGGGACACCAACTTTCTGCTCATTTTGCATTGAAAGGCGTGTTTTCTTGGGTGGGTATGACATAAATAAAATACAACACGGTGCATTCCGCATCACCCTCGGTCCCAGCCCTCCCGCGGATCGGATCTCCCTCCGGCCTTCGGCCGTCGGGCGATCCGACGCGCGGTCGGGCTGGTACCTCGGGCGATACGGAATACCCCGTGTTGTATTCTATATGTATATTTTGACCATCTAAACCTCCTCAGTGTTAGTAACGGCACGCCCGACACCCATGCACCTGCCACTGCACGACCGAAACATGATGAAGCTCACACCCAACTGTGGCGACCATCCCTGTCACAATCTAAAAGTTCGTCATGTTTAAACAAAACAGTAGCAACTCCACACAAACTGTTGTTGTCGAAGCCCTTTCCCAAGCCCACATGTCTGAAACATGTTTCGGAATATTCCATAACGTGCCAAGAGAAAGGACATGAAATGGAATATTCCAAAACATGTCTGGAGCACGTTTCGGAATATTCCATTTCGTGGCTAGCTGGGCTGTGGAGACCACGTTCTTACAAAATCAAGCTTATTTGCATAATTTAATGACACAAAGTAATGCTGAATATTTACAAACTTTAGTTCAAGTTCAATTTTATTTAAATCAACTGGCATGTACACAGATTCACAGAAAATGTGACATGAAATTCGTTGACAATTACATTAAAAGCTCTCAAAATGTGACATGAAATTCGATGACAATACAGTAAAAGCTCTCAACATGAAGACAACGATTAAAAGCAGCATAATTAAAAACCAGTTACTTTGATATCAAAAGTTTTAACTATAAATTATGTTCTCTCTTCTGTGTATAAACAACTATCACGTGATTCTATTAGCGGGAAAATAATGAGAAACGGAGGCGCGAGCGTCCGACCAAGGCCCGCGCACTGATGGCGATTAACTCAGACCAGAACGCCATGGAACATCATACCAAGGACATTATCGTACTGACCCATACAGCTCAAACGTGCTAACACCGTCTGCACTCTACGACATGTTCAGACAAGTAAACATGACGCGATTTAACACAGTATCTGTATACGAGCAGCCAACGGACCAAATATGGAAACTTCGGAATGCATAATTAATCACCACTCCTGTCAGTCATTCCTGATTGACAGCGTGGGCGGTCACGTTTTGGAACATTCCAAATCGTGGTCCATCTGCGCCATGGTTTGGAACATAACGTGTGGAATGCCTGTTGCATTCCAAAACGTGGTCCATTCCAAATCATGATTTGGAATAACACGTTTTGGAATGCAACAATTGTTAATAGATGTATGTCATGTATTGAATTTTATGGGCTCTTTAATAAATGTTTTGGCCTCACTCTCTATATATACACATTGTGAACAAAACAAATAAAGCATTATTATACCATATATCGTAACATACGTGCATTTGTAATAGTTGGCCGTGTTTCTCCAGTGTACCCTACTATAAAATTAACCTTGGTGTCCTTATAAGGCAAAAACTGTTCTGCTACATTAAACCCGAACCGATATGTGGTAGCAGCACACAGTATTCCTCCGGGGGTCGCGGAGACGATGACGTAGGGATAAGAAATGAGTGCGACAAACAGCTTGCACCGCTTGTACATAGCCTAACGTGGATGACACCGGGACATACAAGTTACCGTATGGTACCATAATATTTCGGCTTTGATATCGCATAATTGAGATTAGGAAGGCTGCTCGATCGGCGTATAAATGCGCGTGACCTTTTCGCTGCCTGCCAGGGTGAGTCGGCTGCAGTTCCGGTGCGCTCCGCAGGAGGCCATTTAAAAGAGGTCGGCATGATGTCAAAAAAACGATAACTTTTTGTACTTTTTTGTTATTTTGTACATCGTACCCTATATTTGAACATATTCGTTTCTCGTGCTTTTCTATGGTACCCTACTGTATTTTTATCCGAGTCGAAGTCAGTCACTTCCGGGACCTTAACTATAGAAATCCCCATAGGCGAAAAACTGTGTTCTGCTACCTTGAATCAGGAGTTACCGTTTGACCCTTGACCTTAGAATGCTTCCGGGTCATCAGACCTCAACTTCCTTTTCTTTCCGTCCGCGCGACATTCAAGAGGGAGACTGTCGCTTTCCTCTGACTCTTACAACTCGTACAAGGCTGTTGTTTGACTCTTACAACTCGTACAAGGCTGTTGTCTTTGTTCAGGTAAGATTACTTAGCGTTCAGTGGGTTGCATTTGGAGCATAAAGGCTTTGTAAAATTGGTACAAAAATATACTTGTGATAGAATATTCAGATGACGCTGTGGGGGGCTGTTAACTTATAACAAGGACATTCTAGAGAACTCCTTGCTTGTGTAACCAAACGACAAACTTTAAATGTTTATGACGAAATATCGCCTATGGCTGTTGACGAAAGTACACCAAAGCTTGGAGGAGGAATTTTGATAAATATTGGCGTGCAATTTTGCTGTTTTTCGCACCGCCGAAAATGGCGGGAAATTTGTCACATGGAGGAATGTTCTCGGTAGGCTCTCTAGGGGTTTACGAAGAAATTTAATGAACTATGAGTTTAGGAGTTGTTGCAGCTATAAATTCTAAAACAAGTTAAAATAAAATATATTTCCAGTTTCAGAGTACTTTTTAGTGCTCATCTGTATTAAAAAAAAAAGATATGCAGGACGCAGACAATTCATGTAAGGTATACTCCAAACCCCTCTTTCCGCCCCCGAGCCAAAATACTGTAGTTTCCGCCATTTTGTACCGGTAGCACATTTATTATATACGTTATTATTGAAAATCCTTTTCCGGAAATTTTATAGTAATAAATGGTTTTTATTGTCCAAACAGTACCCGTGCAGTCACAGCCTTTATAAATTATACGGCTAAATTGATGCAGGGTATCACATAATAATCAATACAAATCACA